GATAGAGGCGTATTATTGCGCGTACCCCCTATGCTACAGCGAACGAGAAACGCCCTCGGCTCGTCCACCTCTGCGATTGCAACTGATCAGCTTTCGTACTGTGGACTAGTAGCTCGGCGGGGATACGCCCACCGAAGGGAGGTGACAGCTCCCGTAAGGTAGAGGTAAGTCGTGCCTCGTGTAGGCTCTGTCCTGTCGTAGGGGCTCGCGAGAGGTATGGCTGGCGCGCTCGGCCGGAGCGGCTTGCGGAAGCTCCATGTAAGTACCGCAACGAGGATTCATTCCAACTCCTGCGTGGCGCGGCCAAGAGGGTCTCGCGCTGCCCATGAGTGGTGGCGGACTGATACGCTCGACAACGTGTTCGCGCCCCTTCATGTTCGCGCGAACGTGTTCGCTCGTTCGAGCGAACAACTCGCGAATATGTTCGGGTGAACACAATTTTTTTTCGTTAAAAAAATATATATATATTATTTTTTTCGGTTTTTTATTTTTAACTCATGATTGGCTACGAATTTGAACATAAATCCAAGGCAAAAGTTGCTTGTATTGTTATTTTACATAACATATAGTTTTGTCATATTTTTCTCACAACGTTTTTTTTTTTTTTTTAATATTTTTTATGTTCGCATTCAAAGGGTTTTGGGCGCTTGTTCGCGTTCGTGCGAACATGTTCGCGTTCGCCTCCGAACGCGAACACGGTGCTACGTAGGTACACATATGTAAGGCTGCAGGGCATTTGGCTATACCCAGAAAAAAAGGAAAATCGTCAAAGATGGCACTGTCGTGAATGAAATTGTGCATTCACTAATTTTAATTTTTTTCTATGTTACCAGTTGTCCGATGGCAGGACGTCCTGGGCAGTCAGGGGGGTCCCGGACATCCGGGCCCAGACAACTCCATTTTTAGCAATTAAATGCACGAAAAAAAAAATAAAAAAAAGGGGGGTGTTTTTAATTTTATTTTTTATTTTACAATAGACAACGAATTTCAATATCATCCCAGGCCAAAAGTTGTTTAGTTTATGGTTTTGCATAACATAGATTGTTTTCAGATTTTTTGGAGGAAATTTTTTTTTTTTTTTTTTTTTTTTTTTTTTTTGTCGTTTGGGCTTCCATAGTGAATTTCATGGTCACCCTCAGGCAAAAGATGTTTGGTTTGCAACTTTGCAATTCTGCATGACATAGATTGTTTTCAGATTTTTTGGAGGAAACTTTTTTTTTTTTTTTTTTTTTGTCGTTTGGGCTCGGACAGTCTGCCAGGGGAGGATTTGTGTGATGAAAGTGACAAACGTAGATCAGATGATCAAACGCAGAAACGTAGATCAGATGATCAAATGCAGACACGTACAAAAAGTCCGACATGTGAAACATGCAAAACCAATTATACAGTATAGTAATCGAATTACAACTCCGGCGGGTTGGCACCCCGACCGGTTTCGACAGCCGCCACGCTGTCTCATTAGGGGGAACCGTCCATCATCTCCCTAGACTTCTCGTCAACTTCCACAAACCCACCTCCGTACGTAAACGCCGCTGCATAGCGGATATTACGACATTGGACCCGGAAGAACCGGAAAGACTAAAGGCGTATTCACAATTATTATTTATCTACCGCATGATACCCAAAAATAGACCACCAAAAAAGTCTACTTCCTCCTACTTACAACTTGCACGTACCCATCTGAAAAAAAACAGGTCCTATACCAAAAGTCCAACAAAATATTATCGAAGGTCCAAACTACACTGGGAAAACTGGGTTCCAACAATCCCATCCTGCGAGGGTCATTATTACCATCCCCCGTCGGGTGGCGAAAAACCACACCGAAGGCCCAAACAGCATACGGACACAACCGGGCGATCCGGAGGTCTGTGTCACGCCCCTGTCTTAAAACGGACCAACATCGATACCCAAGCTTCAAAACATCATACACAAAACAGTCCCACACAGAAACGCTACAACCCTGTCCCTACAACTCAAACAGATTGGCATTGATACTCATGCACCTAAAATCCGTACTCAAACCTTGATCTACACAATCCATCCGATCCTTTGCGACCCTCCCTGCAACCAATATCCAAAACAAAAGCAGAAAACGAATAAGACAGCAACCAAATGTGCGAAAAACATCTGAAACTATTCAAACATCCTATGCCTACCAATGTCGATTACGCCAATATCTGCGTACGATTCCAAGAAAACACAAGCCGAACATGACTAAAAATGATACAACACATCAAACGCATATCAACAAAAGGTAAGAAAAACTACATCACTCGCTAAACAACCAATCATATGTCCATGCCCATATCGAATCACGTCCCACGGCGAATCTTTTTAACACCCGGCGGAGAGAAGAACTCGGGAAGTCTTTCAGTCCAAGTTCCCGTTGCAGGCTCAGTACCCTCAATGGGATTGTTGTTTGCACATTCGTGTTCCTCATTATATGGTGCAAACAGCTTGCAATCGCTGCACTTTTCTGTGTCTTGCTACCCCAAGAATGATATGTCTGTTCATTCTTATACTCCAATCGCTCGTCATCCCACATGGCGGCTTCGTTCTTAGTTGACTGGACGCAGTGCAGGTACGGGTTCAGGACATCCACAGACATACTGGTGCCCAAAAAATCCCATGTGCCTTCCTCGTGATCGGTCCTTTTCAACTTCAAACCATCTGGGTAACATGTTTCGAACAGACCTTGAATCATCTCAACCAGTGCTGGCTTCCTATGCTTCTCCACAATCACCAAACTGACGTCGTCCATCAGACGAAAACCAAAAAAATAGCGGCGCCAACCCCCCAAGCTGTTAAGGAAATTCCATTCTGCAAACGCACACAGAATACAAGCGAGGGGTGGGCTGGTGCTTTTGCCCATTGGTATCCCCACTACTTGTCTCAGCAGCACACCAGTGGCTCGCGTGAATGTATGCTCCGAGTCCCATCGGACAAACTTGTGAATATCGACCAACGCCAGCTTCCTCCACGATTCCTCCCCAGCTGTTGCTCCAAAGGTACAGCCTTTACCCCTGGTATTAACACGCACCCAAGACCTCCCGTTCCTCTCATGATGGTCGATGACCCAGTCAACAGCGGCCACGATATCCTAGTACTGGATTTTGGTAAACATGTCCTTAATATCGTAGGACCTGGATACCAACTCAAAATCGTCCGTTGCCGACTTGGCAATCCTTCGACTGCACTGATCCAGTCTCAGCACCAAATCCCCAACCGATTTCAAGTTGAAGTTACTCTTTGCGGGCATCGTTGCCAACAGGTGATTGATACGCTTGGCTACCGCACGACATGTCCGAACCGTAGGTTCAGAAAAAGTCGGGCAGATAGGCCTAAAACGCGTTAGATCTTTGTGCTTCGGCATGATATATGCCTCACCCACCTTACCTTTCCCATCCCAACGAACAAACTTCTACAAATCCAACTCCTTCGCTTGAGCTCGCATGATCTGGTGCACTTCAGCCTTTGATTCCTTCACGATAGTGTATCCTGCCATTGTAACAAACATCCCCATCATGGCTTCGTAATACGAACCTGGACACATGACTAAAGTCTCCCCTGGATTACGATCAACCAGGGTCAGTACCAAACCGTCCAGTACAGACTTAACCTTTTCAACTTCCAACGGGTTCAAGAATTTATCCCTTTCCCCCGTACTACCACTCATACAATTGGACAGCTCCGAATCACGACACGATACGTCCGGTCCAGTCCAGTTACGCCAATCTGTGAACCCCGCTCCAATTCCTGCAGCCGAAACTGCACGTGGCCACCTACCCGTGGGTAGGGCAACCCTGCGCAAACGCAGGTTGATACCTCAGCTCTCGCAAAACGTCGCTGATTGTGTATCATTTCCGCGATCAATGGGTTTTTTACCCAAACAATCCGGATCGTGCCCCGTGCAGTATCTTTCAGACAAGACGGAATGGTCAACGCCTCGATCTTGTCATTTACCAGCTTACCAACCTCCACCAGTCTGATCCGGTCATCATACTTCAACCGTATGATCAACTTTGCGTTCATGCTCCATCCATAAACTTCCTTGATTGCTCAAACGACGAAACGTCGCAGGTATGCTGCTGAAGATGATTTGTGGAAATCACCCACAACCTTGCTCAGTCGTCGTAAAACTTCCAGACTACACATCTTCAACACTTCTAAACGAAGTGGATTACGAAAAAGTGAAATCAGGAATCGTTGGTCAGGGCATGCCTTCGACACCCATTTGACCAACATCACCATCTCGAAGATCCCTCCCCTTTCGAAATCCAATTTGCACATACTCAAGCATTTTCGTTGTCTTCCCCAGCGAACTATAGAGCTCCCAAAGGCACGTGTGACAGATTTTCATCCGCCACACCATGCATTACCGCTCTCGATCGTAAAGTTAAAACGTCGTGTCGCGGCTCCATCCTGTTTCAATAGCAGTCTGTAGAAATCCACGCTCCAGTCATCCTCATCAAGTACCTTCGTCTTAACAGGCAAAATAGTCTGCAGCCTATTAGATTCCTTTGGAGACACTCGTCTTGCTTCCGCATCGCACTTAGCCCGTTCTCTCTTCCCTCGTCGACTCTTCATCTTCGAACGCCTGCAAACGGGTTTGCCCGTGGTATTGAGTACAGGAGACCATCTTCTGATGTAAAGCAGTTCAAGACCTGGTAGTTCAGATGCGGCGCCTACTTCAATGGGTATCAGAACGTACGATTTAGACCCATAAACCTGCCACCATCTATATAGGTGAGTCTGCTTCTTGCCTCGGACACAAGCCGCGATGTGCTCTTTCCATCGAATATCGAAACGCAGCTTAGTCTGCCCAACGTATTGCGCTTTACATGATGGTGAAGACAAAATATAGACACCCCTGATGCGCCCGCTGAAACCTTTCATGCCAAGACGCTGGTACAAGCTCAGCCAAGAATCTTCACACTTTCGGAGCCAACGGATCTGCCCTAGTAAGGTGAGCATAATCACTACCAAACGATACAAAATATCGACGATGGTGTCTTGCGGCAAAAAACTGCGCACCCTTATGAGAGCTCTACATAGTCTCCAATACTCCTCCGCTGTTCAAACCTCCTTATCGTCGTCGTTACCTGCCGATTCCTCCTTCTCCTCGCTCTGATTACCTTCTTTAGTGATCGCGCCTGTTGGGCCTTCCACTTCACCTTCGGGGCCATAGGCCACTTGCGAACGCTTCTCGGTGATAGCTATGATCATATCCATTTTCCTCAAACCTTCGTAGGGCACGTCCTCCGAACTGCAAATCTGCTTCAAATCTTTCATGTTACGGTCGCCTAACTCACGTAGGTTATCCGTAACAAACATCAATCTCCCCATCGTGTCTGGCGATGTCGACACCTTCTTGCCTTTCCGCGCGCTTCTCAGCGACTTCGGTGTCTGCTTCCTAGGTGACCGCTTAAACGGTTGTCGTCTACAGCTCAGTAACAAGCGTTTCGGATCCAAAACATCTCGCGTTGATGCCCGCTTGGCAGGGGTTTCCATTGGCGAGCTATCTCCGACTGGTCGCTCCACACTTCTCCTCCGCTTCTCTTTGATGACTAACTCTTCCGTCTGCTCGCACACTGCTTCCACATCGCTTCCTTTTGGCTCATCGCTTTCCTCTTCAGACGACGCATGCACTGGCAGCTTCCCTTTATCTTTCTTCTTGGTAGGTATTGCCGACGCCAAACATTGATGCAGTTCCTCACACACGTTTCCCATGTGCATGCGAATTTTCATCCGCAAGTCCTTACGCATCGCTTCCCGATCTTCTGCTTCCAACCTTTTCTTCTCCTCCTTCTTCTTCAGTCGTCTATCATTTGCTATCTTCTCCTCTTCCTCTCTCAAAACCCGTTCTTTTTCCTCTCGTTCTCCATCCTCGCCCTCACTTTCTCCTCCTTCCTGCTTTGTTCGGTGTCGATAAAAGTCTTCATATCCGCAAGTGAGCTAGCTAGATCCTCAAGCTGTTTCCTAACAGTCGGATCCTCTGATGCTGAACGTCGATCCCCACTCCTATCGTGATGAGCCGGGGACGTACACCGTCAGCGTTGAGGAAAGCGTCAAGCACTGCTTTCCCCAAACAGCTTAGGGCACTAGTTTTTGTAGTACCCTGGCTTGCCGCACTCATAGCACACCGGAACGAAGCGCCTTGGCTGCTCACGATAACTCCCTTGGTCGCGTGCGCCCGCTCGGTCATCTCGAAAGTCTCCTTGCCGTTCCCGTCGGTCATTACCTCCGTAGTCCCTGTTCCCACCATAACTATACCCCGAACCAAACTCCGGATGCCTATCTCGATGGTCATCGCGTCGGTAATCCCGGTGCGCTGCGCCCGATATCCTTACTGAACCGTACATAAACAACTGCGCGTAGCCTTTCACGCTTCCCTAGCTGCGCAATTGCTGATGACATAAACTCTTCAAACGTGAAAAAGAAGAAAACGGCGAAAAAAACGTAAATCTCAGTAATTCTCAGTAAGAAACTCAGAGCAAATACAAAAGCGTGCTCACACTTGCTAGGCAACTTCCCAGTTGGTTCACACGAGCCTTATCGAGTTGTGATGAAAGTGATGAACGTAGATCAGATGATCAAACGCAGACACGTATATATATATATATATATATATGGGCAGTTCTGTTTGTAACGATATATATATATAAACGTAGATCAGATGATCAAACGTAGACACGTATATATATATATATATATATATCGTCACAAACAGAACTGCCCGGAAAAACCGTAGGCAGAGAGAGAGAAGAGGACAACAAACGAGGGGCTGTGACAAACTGTTTCGTCGGAGTTTCACCGACTCATCCGGAGGCTGAACCCTCAACAGTCTGCAGAATCCCCTCACTGATTACATTGTAAATGATAATCTACCTTAACCAAAATCAAAGTACACTATCACTCACCCATATATATATATATATATATATATACAGGGTTACCTGACCGAACGTTCGGGGGCCTCTGGGCTGGCCCCCGAACATTCGGGCGTTCGGGGTCTCGTTGGGGCCGAACACCTCCAGGTTCGGCCCCCGCCAGAAACATTTTCGGGGCCTAAAAATAAGTGTTTTTTTCTGAATTGTTTTTTGTGAGTTCTCTATGATGTAAGCCCTTATCGGACAGGGTTGGTCTGATTGCAGCAGTGTGGTTTGTCTTTTTCGGGGTCTTTATGCTGCAGGCCCTGACATTTTTATTTTTGGTCCCTACTTCCGAGGGACTGTTTTATTCGACGTGTGGTTGATCCGATTGCAGCGGTGTGGTTTGTCTTTCTCGGGGTCGTTATGTTGCAGGCCCTTATGTTTTTGTTCTCTTTTTGGTCCTTAATTCCGAGGGACTGTTTTATTCGACGCGTTGGTTTGTTTTTCACTGGATTCGAACCAGTAGCGTTTTGGATCGATATCCTGGTACCGATTAGTTGGACCTGGGCTTACTCGAAGGTCCGGGCTGGCACATGTGTTTTTTTGGTGCCTTCGACAGTGGTTCATTTTGAAGACTTACGTATTAATACTGACCGAACGAAGTAGTCGACCTCTGAAGTTCAAGGACTGACGGATCCGTATACCTCGGTCATAATGACCGGGGCGGAGGAGACGGAAGTGGGTTGGTTGGGAAGAGTTGGTGAATGATTAGGGTGAAGGAGGTGGAGACCCCCTGATGAGGCAACGTGCCGTGTTGCCGAAACGCGGCGTCTGGGACGCCGACCTGAACTATGGTGAAGTTGATTACTGATTGGACCAGTGCTACTTGTTATATTTTGAATCCGATTTGATCGACTTTTCTACGTCGCGACTTGTTCGTTGACCATTTGTCTCATTTGCTACTACTTACTGCACACATTAACTGTCTCAGAAAGGAATTACTGAGGTTGGTGAGCGTGGTTACTATTTCCTTGTGTTTCCGTCACGATACTGCCGACACCAAGTGTGTGATCACGATGGGTGATCGCAGAGAGTACGAGAGAAGCGACAGGCGATCCAGAAGCGAAGACCGGACTGGATACCGTGGACCAGATGGTGGACACGACCGAGGTGATCGAGAAAGATTCCGCCGCTCGCCACCCCGTTGCTTTACCTGCAACGAGCGTGGTCATTATGCCAATCAATGAAGATATGGCTGGCGCGCATCAAGCAGCCGTTTGTCGACTTCTTATGACTCCTACAGAGGAAGGTCCGGTTCCCCACGGCGGACTGAGAAGGAGACTGGTGCGCAATCAACTACGGATGCTGACCACCTAAAGAAACAGATCGAGGAACTCAACAAGAGTTTGGCATCAGTCTTGGAGTTCGTGCTGAGCGAGAAAGCGAAGAAGGCGGAAGAAGAAAGACTGAAACAAGAAGCCGAAGCAGAGGAAGAGAGAAAAGTTGTGGAAAAGAAGGTGAGGGAGGAAAAGGAGCGGAAGCGATTGGCCAAGCTACAGAAGCAATGGGAGCGGGATGCGGAGATGGACAAGAAGCTTGAGATACAGTTCGCTTTGAAGACCGGTGATTTTTTTGATAGGATGGAGGCCAACCTTGGGCCGGTACTGGAACTGGTACGAACGAAGGCGAAGAAGCGTGTGGAAGATGCGAGCATACCGAGTCCGGAGCCGGAGGACAGCGACAGCACGATAGAAGAAATCCGCACCCACACGGGTCGCCTGACGATTAGCGAAAAGAGGAAGAGAGGGCCCGAGCCCGTTCTCGAGGATAGCCCTCCAATGGTGACACCCGCAAAGCGAACTCCAGGACGCAACAAGGCGATGACTGGAGCGACTCCTGGTCGAATGACGTGGTCGAAGGCTAAGGTCAAGACCAGATTGTCCCCTCTTGTGGCGAAGCATAAGCGAAGCCCCGAAAAACCAAGAACGGTTGCGAAGCTTCGTTTTCGGAACCAGGCAATGGAGGAGTTACATTGTTTAGATGCACAAGAGCTCCAGTCCATCTGCAAGACTGAGGGCATTGCATATAACGGGAAGATCGACGCAATCTTCGACATCGCTAGCCATCGCACCAGAGTGGCTTTTCGTGAAGTGGAACCTGTGGACATTTCGGAGAATGCAGAACCGGTCGAGGAAGAGTCGACAACTGCCGATGACGAAGGGCATGAAGACAAGGAGTGATGTGGTTACGGATTGGACGAGATATGGCAGATCGTGCGTATAGTGGTAAGTTGGCGCAGTAGACTTCGAGGTACTGATGGCGATGCAGACGACGTGTTGTGGCTCTGTATATTGTTACTGGCGTTCAGAGGTAAGATCAAGTGGGCGACGAAGCTTTTGGATTCATGGCGACGGTTGTATGATACACATGGCGTGCAGTTTATTCATTTGAGCAATGTGGTGTACGTGGCTATTTCACCGTTTTGTAGACTCGAGTATGTTGGAAAGTCCACACGCGATGTGGATATCCGAGCGAGAACATTTATCCGCCTGTCGAACTCGTAAACGGACTCATTTCCACTGTTGGATGTGCACCTTTGGTGCTTGTAACTATGTGCTCCTTCCTGTTGACCACCTCGAAGAGGCAGTGTATATCAGACAGTGGACACCCTTTCTTAACACTACCGGGTGTAGGAAAGGGCTCTTTAACGGTAAAAAGAGTCGGAAAGGTAAGATTGAGAGGAAAAGGAAATGTGCTACGTCAGATTGTAGAGCCGTTTTTCCTCTTCGTTTCCAAGTCACTGGTGATATTACCTGGCGCGTTGACCTATTATCTCTCCTCTTAGACAAATTAAGCGTCGGTTGTAACCGGTTGGAGATAACATCGAGTGGTGGTAATACATGGGTTGGAGGATGGAGGAAGGTGAGAAGACGATTTGGTGAGTCTAAGGTTCGTACGAATGATGGTCTAGTGCCTCTTAAGTCATGCAAGCAACTGTTCGAATGTGGTGGCTCGTTGGTGATTGAGTACTTACGTGTTTGGAGATCGAAGGGTGGTTTTCTGAAGCAATTCCTGATTGGAATATTACAGAATCCTAGGAGATTACTGGAATTCTATCAGTGGGGTTTGAAGTCTCTTATTCGGTTATATAATGCCATCAAAGACTTTACAAAGAAGTCAACTCGAAAATACCTACGGCGATTGATATCTCGCGTGATCCGCGATAGGTTTGGATTAAGTATGTCAACGGATTTGGTCATCCGTGTGAAGTTCGATGAACGAATTCGTATGGTGGAACTGAGGAAATGCGTTAATGATGCTATCATGGTGTCTGATATAACTACCTGCTTTCGGAAGCGTGCGAGGAAGAAAGTTAGGATCGTTTGGGTTAAAAACCAATCGATCGGTGACATTCTCCATAATCATCGTTCATTTGCGGCACGAGATGTACTTACCTGTGTTTGTGCAGGGATGGCCTACCCACGGGTGGATGGCCACGTGTGCTTCCGTTTGAGCGAAGGTGAACCACACCATCAGTTGTTGACTAACGCGAATGATATACCGCGTGCAGCTCCTCCAGATCGCATTAGGTTGCTTCAGAAGGAAGTTACCGAAGGATTCTCGAAGTGGTATAATCTGAAGGGCGACTGCCCTCCAATCGATGTCCTTAGCCTGGCTGCGTGTGTGACTGATCCTGTGATTAGTCCCGCCAGGTTAACACTCGATGATGTCAGAAGGGTCAAAACTGAATTGAGTTGTCTGGTACTCACACCTTTAGACAGAAATCCAGGCGAAACCCTAGTTGTCTGCCCATTTGTATACTTCACAGCTATGATGAGCACATTCGTGACGAACACTGGTTATCGGATTGAGCAAGCACCTGCGGATGTCATCTTGGATGAGATGCGCAACGATCTGTGCGCGTCGAGGTTAAAGAAGATAGCGCGATGGGACTGTAAGGGAAAGATTGGGTCAGCCTACGTGCTACCCAAGCATAAGGATCTCAGCCGGTACAGACCGATTTGCCCAACGTACAGTGAACCGCTGGCTCGCACGGGAAAGGCAGTTGCGAAGGCTCTTAACAAGTTGCTGTTCAATTTGCCCATTGATTGCTATTTTAATTTGCAAGCGGTAGCACATCTTACTGGTAGGATACAAAGGATCAACAAGAGAATGGGAAAGCAGACGGATGTAAGTAATGTGGAGTCGGCATCTTTTAATATAAAGGATATGTTTAGCCGACTCCCCCATTCTGATATTGTTGAGGTTGTGAACTGGATTGTCCAGCACTACGTAGCGAAGGGGAAGTCGATCGTGCGTGTAAATTTGAGAGGGAAAGGGGCTACTTTCGGAAGGACAACCGGAGGAGATCACTGGCAATGTCTCGCACTCGACGTTATTATGGACTATGTCTGCTTTGAACTGAGACATACATACACCTTTGCCACCGGAGTACTCATGAAGCAAGTGATCGGAATTCCAATGGGGAAGAGCACGAGCCCTCCCCTGGCGTGTATCTTATGTGCCTACGCTGAGTGTAGATTCCTGAATAGCCTCGGGAAGTTGCGTAATAACGTGTTTGGTGTGGGACTGATTGATGATGTGTTCTTGGTGACCTTCTCTTTGAGCTGTGAAGCACGTGCAAGGGTCCTGCACAGTTTTGAGAGTTGCTATCCGAGCAACCTGTCCCTGAAACGTACGGATACCGGGAACGGTATTCTGCAGTTTTTGGGCTGCGAGGTAAGGTCCAGACAGACTTACCCATTCATTGGATCTGTTCAACTGGTGAAGAATGAAGAGTCCATATGGGACGACGAGACGCTGGTATTCAAGAATGGTCAATCCTTTTCGTCGTGGGGAAGCAAGCAGCAGGAAAATGCGACAATCGGAAGCTATCTCCATAGAATTGACCAAAACACCACCATTCGATCTGAGATCTCTCTACGCGTACTCACCGTAAAGAGGGAGTTGTGTTTGAAAGGTTATCCACCTGAGAATTTCGATCGGGTTTTAAAACGTTTTGTCGTTGGCAAAGATGCAATTTGGAAAAAGACTGTTAAACTCTTATGTTAGATAGCTTGGGTCTTCTGGCGGAAGCAGTCAGTATACAATAATTGTGGATTGGAATCTGTTTTTTTTGTGAAGTAGGATTGAGTGGGTAGGTTATCGGATAGGGATTGGTCCGATTGCAGCATTATGGTGTGTCTCTTTTGGAGTCCTGAGGCTGTAGGCTCCTGATTTTGTTTGTATGTTGATAGTTGCGTTGAGGTTGTCGGATTGTGCCGAGTGGCTTATCGGACAGGGTTAGTCCGATTGCACCAGTGTGGTTTGTCTTTTTCGGGGTCTTTATGCTGCAGGCCCTGACGTTTTTGTTTTTGGTCCCTAATTCCGAGGGACTGTTTTATTCGACGTGTCGTCGATCCGATTGCAGCGGTGTGGTTTGTCTTTCTCGGGGTCGTTATGCTGCAGGCCCTGATGTTTTTGTTCTGTTTTTTTGTCCTTAATTCCAAGGGACTGTTTTATTCGACGCGTTGGTTTGTTTTTCACTGGATTCGAACCAGTAGCATTTTGGATCGATATCCTGGTACCGATCAGTTGGACCTGGGCTTACTCGAAGGTCCGGGCTGGCACATATGTTTTTTTTGTGCCTTCGACGGTGGTTCATTTTGAAGACTTACCTATTAATACTGACCGAACGAAGTAGTCGACCTCTTAAGTTTAAGGACTGACGGATCCGTATACCTCGGTCATAATGACCGGGGCGGAGGAGACGGAAGTGGGTTGGTTGGGAAGAGTTGGCGAATGATTAGGGTGAAGGAGGTGGAGACCCCCTGATGAGGCAACGTGGCGTGTTGCCGAAACGGGGCATCGGGGACGCCGACCTGAACTATGGTGAAGTTGATTAAACACTGAATTCGTGAAAACCTAGCAAAACCACAAAACCTAACATTTTTTATAGAATGAAAAAGTAAAAGTCAAACTCTTATTTTTGACACATTAAAGAGAGTGTTTGTAATTGTTTCCCGATAAAGGAGGCAAAAAAATTGGCAAAAAGTCTAGTGATTCTCAAAATGTGCAAGAAAAACCTTTCCAATAAAAAAACATGTTAAAGGAGTATAAGTCGTTTTTGAGTAGATTGACAAAAAGCATAGCTCTGCAAGGCGAACTTAAAAGACGTTAAAAAAAAAATAGTTTCAGTGAATACTAATTTATAGAACTATAAGTTATTTTCAACAGTTCGGTAAAAACCAAGTTCTGTGAAAACTAATTTATAGAACTATAAATTAATATAATCCATTTTAAAGTTTATTGTAAAATCCTTGTTAAAAAATATATGTTATGTAAAAGAAAAATTCAAACAACTTTTGTCTCGGGGACAGCTTCAAATTCTTAGTCAACCACGATTTAAAATTAAAAAATGGAAAAATATTTTAATAAAAAAATTAGAAAAATACAAAAATACAATAAATTCGTCCATGTATGAGAAAACATATCTAAGAAAATGTATTCGGAATAGGAGAATATATTTGCATGTTTGGGAAACCCCCGAATAGGTTCATCGTGCTACATACCTTATAGAACTATAAATTTTATTTTTTTTAAATAACAAAAAATTGGGATATTTCGATTCTTGAACAAATGGTGTTTTGCAAGGTAGTGATTTTTTATAAAAAAATTTGCTTCTCTCCTCACCACTTCTAGTGGTCTTTAAAAAGTATTTTTTTATTCATTTTTTGTGGTTAATTTACTTCACATTGAATGTTGTTCATGTAAGAGGCCTGAAAAATGTATTATCTGAATCTTTAAAAATTTTCGTGCAAACCTAACAATTTGTTTTGTTAGGTTTTCACGAATTTTATGTTATTACTGATTGGACCAGTGCTACTTGTTATATTTTGAATCCAATTTGATCGACTTTTCTACGTCGCAACTTGTTTGTTGACCATTTGTCTCATTTGCTATTAACCTACACACGTATAAATTTTGAAGTCATTCTGCTAGGCCAAAACAACATTAAAAATCGTCAAAGATGGGGGTGTCAAAACAAGCTCGCCCACTCACTATTTTGTTTTTTTTCACTTTTAACTTTTTCTTTTCACTTTATTTCGGGGTCTAAAAAAATTTGTTAGTTTTTGAAAACTTTTTAATGAGTTATTGATTATGTAAACTACGTATTCATAAATTTTCAGGGCATTTTTCAATGCCAAAAAATAATAAAAAATTGGCAAAGATGGTGGTGTTGAAAAGGTGCTAGCACACTCACTCATTTTAATTCTCTTTTTAATTTTTCTTATTTTTATG